TTTTTTTTTTTTTTTTTTTTTTTTTTTTTTTTTGTCTTTTTTTTCTTCCTGTCTATTTTTTTCTGTCTATTTTTTCTATTTTTTTCTATTTTCTTTAATTTACTCTTCAATTTTTTCTTTTTTTTTAATTCTATTTTTTATTCTATTTTTAATCTATTTTTTATTCTATTCTTCTATTTTTATTTTTATTCTATTTTTCTAATCTTTTTACTCTATTTATTCTCCTTTTTTAATTCTATTTTTTAATTTTTATTCTATTTCTCTTATCTTTTTACTCTATTTTTTCTCCTTTTTTATTATATTTTTTTTTATTTTTATTCTATTTCTCTTATCTTTTCACTCTATTTTTTCCTCTTTTTTTTATTCTATTTTTTTATTTTTATTCTATTTCTCTTATCTTTTTACTCTATTTTTTCTCTTTTCTTTTTTATCCCATCTCTTATTTAAATTATTTATTTTATCACCGCCCCCTAGGCCATAGCACCACTGCTGCCTGCACCAGTTAATTTTTAATTCCACCCCTCCGTGCTCCCCTTCGCTGCCGGAGCGGTGGCTGCGGGTTCCTTCCCCCTTCCCCCAGTCCTCATTTCCTCTTTCCAAAGCCCAGCCTTCCCCTTTCCAYCTCCTTCCTGCCCCCGGCGTGCCAATGTGGGTGCCCATCCGAGCGCGGCGTGGGCGTCAGAGGATGCCCCGCACCCACCGAGCCCGCAGCGTCACAAATCCCTCGGCGACATCCCGGGACAGCGATGTCACTCACAGGCGCTGGAGCAGGGATTTATCCCTTTCCAAACGCTGCGGCTCGCTCGGGCACCTCCCACAGCCGCCGAGGATGGATCCCGGCCATGAATCCCTGGAAAAACAGGATGCCCGAGCGGCGTCCCGGCGCTGGATGTCCCCGCGTTGGGGACCGGGGTTTGCCCCGCGTTGCCGGGCACAGCTGGAGCGGGCACAGCTGCTCCCTTTCCGCCTGCCCGCTCCCGATGGTTTGCACAAGGCAGGAAATGTCAGCGAAGGGYTCCCGTTAATGGCACTGCACCCGCGGCTCTCCTGAAAATCCCTGCGGAGGGTGCCGGGGGTGGAACGGCAGCGGGAGCRGCGCTCGGCAACCGGCGGGGTCACAAGGGTGGAAGAGCCTGGGAACGGGGATGTTATCGTGGTACTCGGGATGCACAGCCCAGAGAAACCCCTGCAGCCCTGTTGAGCAGGGCAGGGAGCGCCCCAAACCCTTTCAGTGTCCCCCCAATCCTTTCAGTCCCCTCCAACCCCTTCTGATTACCCCAAACCACCTTTTGATCCCCCCACACCCCTTTCAATCCCACTCAAAACCCTTTAAGTCCTCTTCAACTTCTTTTGAATGCCCCCAAACCCTTTCAGTCCCCCTCAAAACCCTTTCAGCCCCTCCAAAAACCCTTTAGATCCCCCCAAACTCCTTCAGACACCCCCAAAAACTGTTCAATCCCCGCAGCAGCTGTTTCTCAGCCTGTCTAGATTTGGGATGTGGAAATCACTCCGTGCCTGGGGTCTCCAAGCCCCGATCTGTGCATCCCCCCCATTTCTGAACGTTTGTTGCTGGCTGACGGTGCCACTGGGATTCGTGTTTGTGAGTTATCCGTGCTCCAAGCGGCTCCATGCCAATGGGATGGGAGCCACAACCTTCCCATGACCTTGGCCAGCCCSCAGGTCCTGGCTCCTCTGTCCCTGTCCCCACCCCTGACCCTGTTTCTGGTGAACCAGGGGCAATAAGCTGTAAAACCRTGATTATTTTTTGGCAAGGATGACTCAGGTTGTCCCCAGGGAGGAAGCTTGGTCAAAGCATGGTGGTGGCCACTCTCCACACCCTCTGCAGCCCTAGGGGTGTCCCCATGGGGTGTCCCCATCCCTGCAGTGGTGCTGGGGGTGTGGGGACACCCTGGGGCTGGAGGAGGCTGCTGTGGCCTCACCCCTGGTGTGTGAAATTGGGGTGCAGGTGCCTGGAGCTGTTTGGGGGAAAGGGTGGGTTCTGTTTGCTCCTTGCCTTCCTGTGTGGAAAGGGAAAAGCCACTTCTGGCTGCCTGTGGGACACAGTGACCGGACACCGTCAGGGGGGTGTGGCCCCGGTCTGGACGCAGAGCCACGGTCACCCTGGGCTGGCAGGGTGGCCAAAATCCAAATCCACCCTTGGCAGCCTCTGTGCCCCAGCTTTTCTCTCAGCCCTTTGTCTCTACAAGGTCTCCCTTCTGTGGAGGGCGTCAGGACTGACAGCTTTGGTCTCCCATGGCCATGGGAGCCCTGTGGGCTGGCTGGTGGCCAGGGCTGTGGCTGGTGGCACTGACAGAGTGTCCCTTGTCCTTCCAGCACSGGGAGCAGTGACCCGTACTGCATCGTGAAGATCGACGATGAGGCCATCATCAGGTGGGTGGCCCAGGTCCCTGGCTGGTCCCCAAACCTGCTGGAGCCCCAAACCCTTGCTCCTGGCAGGTTTCCCCATTTACCCTGCTGCAGGCATGTTATTATTATGATTATTGTTATGATAATTAGTTCTTATTGTTTATCATTCATTATTATTCCCTGCTTTGGGCTGAAATGCTCCTCCATGGCCCCCTTCCCCTGTAAGCCACCCCATGTCCTGCAAGCCCAAGGACAGGGACAGAGACTCATCCCTGCCCCAGCTGAGGGTCCAAAACAATGGGTGCTGTCCCCAGCCACGTGTCCCCAAAAGCTGGGAGGGTCCCAGGGCTGGGCAGCACCCAGAGAGGGAGCCCTGTTCCCCTTTGTCACCAGTGCCACCTGCCCCACAGGACTGCCACGGTGTGGAAGACGCTGTCCCCGTTCTGGGGGGAGGAATACGAGGTGCAGCTCCAGCCYGGGTTCCACAGCATCTCCATCTACGTCATGGATGAGGATGCGCTCAGGTACGGGGGGAGCTCACCCTGGGGACTCGCTTGGTGGCTTTGGTTCCCTGAGTGCCCAGCCCCAGTGTGGACACCAGAGAATGAATCCACACCTGGCCACACCACCCTGGGCTTTGGGACAGAGAGGGTGACAGTAATTCCTGAGATTATTGTCCAGCTGGCAGCAGAGGGTGGCTGGTGTGCTCCATGGGGATAGACCCAGGATCTGGTGTCCCCAACCCAGGATCCTCCAAAGCGGGGCTGTCCTGGAACCAATCCCTCACAGGGAATTGGCAGTGAAGGAGTGCAATAAAGATATTTCCTCATTCCTGAAAAGAAATAACATTCTGTAGATTTACAAAGGTTCTCACATTATTTTTTTTTTCATCTAGCAAACTCATCTAGCAAGTATTCTAAGAGTCAAATCAAATCGGAACTTGTACTTMAGTAATTTTATCTGATCAGGACCGAAGCACTTGTTCCACACCGTGTCCTGCTTCCCACTTTTGTCTTGCAGCCGTGATGAYGTTATTGGGAAGGTCTGCATCACCCGGGCCATGCTGGCAGAGCACCCCAAGGGTAAGGGACGGGTGGATGGAGGGTCCCAACGGGGATTCACCTGGATGAGCCGGTCCCCAGGGCTCTCCTGATGACTCCTTCATGGGAGTCTCCCATTTTGCTGCAGGATACAATGGCTGGGTGAGCCTCAGTGAGGTGGACCCCGATGAGGAGGTGCAGGGGGAGATCCACCTGCGCGTGGARGTCCTGGGCAGCCAGGGCGGCCGGCGGCTGCGCTGCTCCGTGCTGGAGGCCAGGTGAGAGGGGACATGAGGGTGACAGGGACTGTGTGTGCAGCTGGGACAYGGATGGTGAGTCCAGGCTGCTCTGTGACTCAGTTTCCCCAGTGTATCCAGTCCCTTGGGTGCAGAGCATCCTCCTCCGGCAGCTGACGGGGGTCCTGGGGCAAGGTCTTTATAATGTACATCTTAAGATGAAGGGCAAGTGAGGAGGGGAGGGGGTGCCATGGGTGCCCATAGGGATTTTGGGAGCTCATTGGTAAATTCCCCCTCCTCTCAACAGGGATTTGGCCAGGAAGGACCGGAACGGTGCCTCTGACCCCTTTGTCCGCCTGCGCTACAACGGGAAGACACAGGAGAGCACCGTGAGTGTGACTTCAGCCATCCSCAACGGTGCAGGTGGAATCAACCTGTGGGGACAGCCATCACTGTCCCCCAGCACCCCCAGCACCCCCAGCTTGGTGTCCCTGAGGGACACATCCACCCAGAGAGGGAGGACAGAGCTGTCACCTTTGCAGGTGGTCAAGAAATCCTGTTACCCACGCTGGAATGAGACCTTCGAGTTCGAGCTGGCCGAGCCTGCCGGGGAGAAGCTCTGTGTGGAGGTGTGGGACTGGGACCTCGTCGGCAGGAACGACTTCCTGGGCAAGGTGAGCCCCCAAACCCTGTCACCACTGCTGGGGTCCTGCCCAGCTGCACAGCCAGCCCCTCCTGCTTTCCTTCTCTCCCAGGTGGTGTTCAGCGTGCAGGGGCTGGAAGCGGCCGGGCAGGAGGAGGGGTGGTTCAGGCTGTGGCCGGACAAGTGCAAGCCCATAGAGGATGAGTGAGTTTTGGGGTGTTGGGGTGTGCTGGGGGTGGGCCCTGTGCTCTCAGGGGTGTCAGGGAGGGAGTTTTTCCTGGGAAGCATTATCTCTTTGGAGAGGCAGCCCAGAGTGTTGGGCCACC